ACTGTGGACAAACATTTTTGGTGAAGTAAGGGAAGGAAACAAAATCCAATAACTAAAACTGTGGACAGTTTTTGGGTGAAGCAAAGAAAGGAAGCAAAACCTAATGACTAAAACTGTGGACAAAAATCTTTGGTGTAGTAAAGTAAAAAACAAAACCTAATAACTAAATCTGCGCATATTTTTTAGGTGAAGTAAAGTAAGGAGGCCAAATCTAATAACTAGACTGGTGGACATTTTTTCTGAAGTAAAGAAAGAAAGTAAAACTTAATGACTAAAACTATGGACAAAAATCTTTGGTGAAGTACAATCAGGAAACAAAATCTAATAGATTTGAATCTAAACCTACAGGTTCGAGGTTTTGAAATTTAAGCTCAAAATATGAATCTAAAATTCTTGGTTTTAAAATTTAGATTCAGAATCTGAATCTTAAACCTTGGGTTTGGAGAGTTAGATTCAGAATCTGAATCTAAAATCTTGGATTTGGAGAGTTAGATTCAATATTAAAAAACAACAAATTTTATAAAACAAAATAATAAATAGTAATAATTTTCAAAACAAAACAATATAGAAAACATAGTGATTGTAAATACTAGTTTTAATATATTTTCCAAAAATATGTTTTCATATATAGAAAAGCCACTGTGGCCGTCATATTTAGAAACAAAAGTATATGTATACCACTGAAGTTGTGAAATTGGATCAAAAGCCCATCAGTTGTGAAATTGTATCAAAAGCCCATATGGCCCATCACAAAGTACATCCAAAAGCCAATGTGACCTTTGGAATATATATATATATACACATACATCATAGTATATCTATCTACTATTATAGCCATTTATGCATCAGAAGAACATGCCAGAACATGTAGAACATAAGCACTGTATAAAGTGTTCTATCAATAATTTAAATTAAGCTGTAGCTACACCAATGGTGTAATTCATACCAACCATTTACAAACCAATTGAAGCCCAAAGAGGTACCACAAACCAGTAGCCATGGCAGAGCGAATGGATCCACAGGCCACCACCAGTGATTCCAGTGCCACCTCCAGTGATTCCAGTGACACTGTTGTGCCCAACAAGACCATTAATGAGTACCAATGGAGACCGAAGGAGTTGGGCAGGATGAGGGCCAATGATGCAGATTGCACCAATGTGCCCAAGGCTCCCAGAATGGCAGAGGTGGCCAGGAGTTCCACCAGTGAGGCCAGTGGTTACCAAGGACCAGGCATGCTGCAAGCCAATGATCCCATAGATATTCCAATTGAGACTACAGAGTCACCAGAGTATGATCCCTTTGCCACCATACCCAGCACACCAAAGCCAGATGAGGCCAGCATGTTCAGCAAACCAAAGCCAGATGAGACCAGCTGCTGGCCCAAGCCAAGGCTAGATGCTAGATCACAACCACCTAGCTTGTTTTTGGCCATAAGGTCACCAATGGGCAATGTGGCACCAGCACCAGAGCCACTTTCACCAGTGTCTCCAGCTTCCACGCAATAACTGCAGAGCACAAAGGCATACCCCAGGGCAGCAAGTGTAGCAGTGCCACCAGACCACTCATGATGGCCATCTACAACCACAATGGGGCATGGACCCAGCTTGTCCAGGAAAGCCATGCAGAGTGCCCATCTTCAATAGACCATCCATGGGGGTTCATACTGTACTGTGATGAAATCATCCCAGGAAATGTCCTGGAGAGGGCAGGAAGAAAGGTATGGACCATATACTGCAGCTTCCAACAGTTTGGGCCCCACTTGTCCAATGAAGACTCATGGCTCACTATCAGTGTGGAAAGGTCCAACTTTGTGGCCACCTTGGATGGAGGCATTGCCCGAATGATGGGCCATATCTTAGAAAGCATCTTCTGTTGCCCCATCCAAGACCCCAGGCTTGGCATCAAGCTGAAAGCCAGCAGTGGGGACATCACTTTGTGTTTCCACTTAGCAATGGTTTTGGCCGATGGTGCTGCTGCTAGACAGGTTTGGTCCAGCAAGGGCGACTCAGGAACAAAGTTTTGTTTGTTGTGTGCCAATGTCCATGGCCAAGTGGTCAAGCATGCAGATGAAGCCCAGCATGAATTTCATTGTGCTACCACTCAATACAGCCAGCTTAGGCTGGTCACTGACCAGGACTTGTTGGACAGCTACCAAAGATTGCATACCAGGTCCAGCTCTTGCACAAAGACAACTTTTGCACAGTGGCAGCAGGCCACTGGTCTGACATATTCCAAACATGCCCTAATGTTGAACCAGCCATTGCTGGAGAAAGGGGTAATCAGACCAGCCACACAATTTTGCCACGATTGGATGCATGGAGTCCTCCAGGGCACTGCCCCATATGTACTCCACCACCTGTTTACCAGCTTGGCCACAGAAGGCTTTGATTGCTATGCCTTCTTTGAAAAATACTTCCAATGTTGGCAAAACCCCAGAGGTTGGAAGGCCAACTATTTTCACCAATTGTTTGAGAAGAAGAAAATGGAAAAATCCAAGAATGCCAGAAAATTCACTTGCACAGCAGCAGAATGTTTAGGCATTTTCCCCGTAGTGAGGCATTGCATGTGCACCATCATCCAGTCTCAAGGCCTGTGTGTGGCAGCAGTGAATGCTTTTTTTGGCCATGTCAGAAGTCATAGACCAATGCCATGGTGGTGTGCAATGGAAAGCCACCACAAGGCAATCCTTGTTGAGTGCTGTGGAAAAAGCCAATGCATCATTTTTGGCTGCTTGGCCAGAAGAAACCATGATCAAGAAATGGCATTGGCATCTGCACCTACCAGATGCATTGTCCAGATTTTCCACTCTTCCAAGCTGCTTCACAGCTGAAAGGAAACACAAAAGCATTTCAGCTGTGGCAACCAAATTGACAAGAACCACCAGTTATGAGAAGCACCTCCTTCAGCAAGTGCTTTCCACTGAAATTTGCACTTTACAGCAGCCAGATCAATTTCCCAATGTTTGCCACATGTGGAAATCAAAGCTTGCCACCCAACAGGACCAAGTGGCCTTGGCACCTTTTTTGAGCCAACCTTGCCTTCAAGCACAAAGTTCGACTGTTGCCATTTTGGCCAGAGGTGGCCAAATTTCAGGTGGTGATGCCATCATTTTCTCAGAAGGCAATGACCAGTGGAAAGTTGCACTTGCCATCAAGCATTTCCAGGTATTTGGCTTGCAAACCACTTTGGTCCAATTGTGATCCATACAGAACATGGACCAATACCATGCCAAATGCAAGGTGACAGCCTCCAATGGGCTCATTCCATTGAGCAAAATTTTGTTCTCAGTGCCATACAGTAAAAGCAATGACCAAGTGACTGTGCTGTTGCCAATGCTACAGTCGAAGATAGCAGGAAAAACAAGTGTGTCTGTTCAGCTGTCTTTTGCCGTCAAATTACCAAAGGCCATTGTGGCTCATCAAAGGCCATGGTGGCTCATCAAAGCCCATGATGGCTCATCAAAGGCCATGATGGCTTCTTCCATCAATCAATAAATGTCTGCACATGTCAATGCACCACGACAGAAATTCATTATGTTTCTTTTTTTTCGAAAATGCATATTAGTTTATCATTTTTTGTACCAAAATCATTTAAATCTCTGAAAACTTAAAGTCAATTTGGATTTTGGAGAAACCATTTTTAGAGTTATAACTAGTTATATAGAGTTAGCAACTCAAGCTAATAGTTATATAACTGATCTTAACTAACTTAACTTCTGACAACAAAACAAGGGTCTCCAGTACACAAGTGCCCATGCATCATTCTGTCTGCGCACAGGGCTCACCCAATCTTCGCGCCTGGTGGGAGCTGTCGGCCTCTGCTCTGCCACTGTCTTGCCGGTCCGGCTTTCGACGGCGAACTGGTCCAACTTCGCATCGGTGCGTGGCGTGAAGTCCGCAGCCGACAGGGCATACTTCTCCTGCGTGCCCCAATGCGGGCGCGATGCCCGCAGCCAGGCGGGTCGTCGCCTTCTGACGAAAACCTGCGTTCCGCAGCTTCGCGGATGCCCCGGCCTGAGCCGCCAGTAGAGCGTTGGCCAACCCAGGAAGACCGCAGCGTCGAACGCAAGCGCGTAGCACCCAAACCAGCGCGGGGACCGTCCTGATCGCCAGCGAACAGAGCGGCCAACAGAGGGAGAGCGCGTAGTGTGCCACCAGGCACAGAGTCATCAAAGCGGCCAGCCGGACTAACAAGGAGCATCCACTCCGAACGTACGCCAGCTCTGCCGAAGATCCAAAGCCACTGGCCGTGTCAAGGAGGGTCCACACGATGCCTTCCCAGGAGCCAAGCTTTTCAATGTCTCCAAGAGCTCGGTGGCCCGGCCGTGGTGTTCGACCACCACTTCACATACCCAGCTGGGTCTTCCCTTAACAACGGAGGTGCTTCAGTCGAATCTAAGGATGGCCCTCGCCACCCATTCCCTCGCCCCAGCTCCAGCGCCAATTAATGCCACGCCCACTACGCGGTAGCAGATCCCGAAGTGACCAAAAAAGGTACGGGCTTGAACCCTTGGCGACATCGATCACCGTGCACAAGCCCTGAAGTCTCACTTTCAAAAAGTTCCAAGTATATTTATAAAAAATAATATAATATAAACAAATATATATATATATAACCTTATCTATTTGTTTATTCTCTGCCGCGCACACACGCACACACAAACTTTGCACCATCTTGTCGTCGCGCAAGTACAGCAACATCTTTGCAAGTACGCTATTTCGGTCACAATTCAATCGCTGAGGTTTCAAACTCAGCAAGGTATGTAGGTCAGTGCTCAATTGGCTTGATGGGTCCTGGTGGTGGGAGCACGCCCGCGAAAAATGATCTGAACTGACAAGTCCTGAGTGAAGACAGGCATCTGCGCTGGCCTCAGTTTGTGGGCAAAAATGAACACGCACCCGGGAGAAAATCCTAGGGACATTCGAGCACCTTGCTTGCCATGCACAGGATGCTTTCCACGAGATGCAAACACCTGCACGTTCTTTTTTACCGCGACCGAATCTTGTCGAGGGACCAAATAAATGGAGACGCATTACTAAGGTGTAAGGCGCGGCCGGTTGATATTTTTTGTAAATCGGACCAAAGCAAACTCTAAATTCAGTCGCGCATCGCATTTTTCTGTTCGCTTCGAGCAGGTTGTGTGGCCAAATAAGGGAACGCCGCTGGGAGAGACACGGCCCAGTTTATCATTAGAGCATACCGATGAGAGCACACATATGAGGACACATTTAAGAACACCCTGCGAGGGCACGGAGAGAGCGCGCATATGAAAATTGTTATATAGGCAGCGTCATCGCCCCTTTTCCACACGAGCGCTGAGCCACTGCGGGCGGTTATGAACTCATGTTCACCTGTACTTCACACAACTGACACCCTGCCTTGCGCGCGTGACCTTTTTTGTCATGCCTTCTAAAGCTCATCCTCCGTGCAAATGCGGTCATCTCAGTCCAAATTTCTGTTGCGCAAAATTTCCACGAAAGCGTCCCACGTGTCATCATAGTCGCCATTCACAATCTCACGAAACATCTTGTGGTAGTTTCGATCGTAGATGTCATTCATACATCAGGGCATAGTCAAATTGCAGTCCTGACCACTTTCCATCACGAAACCTCCAGTCAAACACACTGCGTGTTGAAAGGAGTTTGCCATAAGGTTCCGGTGTCCTTGTCAGCTCCTCAATGTCCTCATACTCTTCATTCTCAAAGTTCTCCAACGCCATCTCTTCGTCGTCGAGATCATCATAGAGGTCTTGCTCCCACTGGTAGTCATTGACCACTGCGCTGTGGGGCTTGCGCTTGCACTGGTCTTAGCAATCTTTTGTTCTGCTTTTGGCATCGAAGACAAAGTCGGTGTCATTGGAATCTGAAGCCTGCCTCACCAAAGTTTTGAAATTCTTCTTTGAAGATGGCGTTTGTTCAAATTCCGTCTCCTGTTGATTTGGTTGGCCCATGTCCATCGTAGGCTGCTCTTCTTCACTATCGCCATGGTCCACGGCATACCTTTCCACGTTTTGAGTTCTGCTGCAAGTCCAGGAACAATCCTTGGCGCGCTCCTTCTGAACTTCTGTCAGCTTGTAGGGCAAGTCCGTCACCATCGAGGTGTAGACTGGATTCCACGGCTTTGGTGTCCGCCTGATCACGCTTGATTTCACCAACCCGTTGGGCGTAGAGACTACACGCAGGTCGCCACTGCCATCTGTAGTCTTCCCAAGCCGGAAACCATTGTGGACCATGCTTATGGCCACCCCTGTTGAGGGCCAAAACTTCTTATCAAATCCCACCAGTCTTCCTGAGTAGCGGCGCCCATTCACCAATGCAAAGGGTGAACTCTTCACTGCGCGCTGAAATCTGTTCAAAAGCCAGGCCGCGTGGACGCAAACCCACGAGAACAGGGGATGTTGAACTCCATAGTTCATCTGGCAACGCTCCTCTAAGTGGTGCGTGATCGTTGAGGCTTGTCTCCTCAAAGTCTGGATCGCTCGCTCAACTTGGCCTGCTCGCCCTTAGCTGTAAGGCTTGGCGAAGGTCAGTCGTTGCAAAACCTAAGCTCTGTCTAATTTTCCTCGCAGCTTCCATCACTGACTTCAACACCGGCTCGTTGTCACTCACAAGCTCCATCAAGTCATAGTAGTTCAAGTAGAGGCTGAAGCGCGCAATTTGCTTTGCTTGGATCTTGAGTGTTCTGGCTTTGAAAGGAGTGGGGATAGCCAGCGAATTCTTCCTTCCAGTGTCGAGAACCACCATCGCAGTCGCGCCCTTAATTGGACTGCTCCTTCACGTAGCAGTAGTCAACCTCTAAGCTTGGAATCCTCCTCCTAAGGCTCCTCGTCCGGCAACCTCTGTTTGTCCTTTTTGTCCTTGCATGCCACGCAATGCTGGCGCCGCTCACGGAAAGGTAAATGAGTAAGTCCATGTAGTTGCACCTCCTCTTCTGTCGGTTGTCGTGGTAGAGGTGCAGAATGAAGTCCACGAGGCCGAGCTTCTTCGAGGTATAGTTTGTTCGACACTTCAAATCCCTCAATGGCCTCCTGCGTCTGAATCTTTTCATTGTGCCCCCTCCATATCTGGGCTCTTGGTCCTCCTCGATAAAGACCGAAATTGTTCTGCTGCATTCCACAGTAGTTTGATTGGACTGTTGGGGAAGATCTCATCGCCATTAATCACTAGCGCGCAACGTTCTTCAACTGCCGCCTGAAATCTTCTTCATTGCCCTGCCTGCGTCTGGTTGCTCCATCTCCTCCTTGGTTAAACCACCTTGAAGTTCAGGGGGCACATTGGGTTCACCACGAAAGGTGGATTCACCTCCTCTTGCGCGTTCTTCTCCAATGATGTCTCCCAGGGCGCTCTCCTCTTCATTGGAATTTCGTAAAGCCGTCAAAACATCGCAGGGCTCATCACATTCTGCAATTTGACTTGACTTGTTTTCCAACTCGTGTATCAGCTACAGAACTCCACAATGAGCCACGCATTGTCCTCACCCCGTCGAATCAAAGTGCTCCTCAATGGCCAGAACCTCCAACTAAAAAGGTAGGAAGGATCTTGGAAAGTCTTGGCGTGGGAAGAAATGCAAAATGGTCTTCCTTCTTCATCAAACCTCCAGCCTTTCAATCCCACTCTCTCCGCCACTGCATCTGTCCACATTTCGATTTGCCCCATTCTTCGGCCACATGACGTCACCATTGCCGCTGCCCTTCTAGTTTCGACACCCTTGTCTTTGTTCATCTCATAGGGAAGAAGACTCACATCAGCTCCTGGGTCAAGAACAAGCAAGTCATCCCTTGCCACCGTTCTCACACGCTCAACGGGATCTGTATAAGCCATGCGTAGAAACCATCTTGTCCAACCTGTGTCTCCTCGGTGTGAAGCGAAAAAGAAACCGCACGCACTGCATACCAATCCTAGCCACCGCTCTTCTCAAGCTCAAACAACTCTGGGTACTCAGACGGCGGCGTGGCTACGTGATACATCCTCACTTGCCTCACCTGGGTCTTGCCACCGGTCTGTGACGTAGTTGTCGATGAAATCGATCGGGAAGGTTGCCTGAGATACGTCAAATTGATCTGGCTTGCGCTGTCAGGGGTTGAAACATCTGACGTTCCCTGGCGCGCGTTGGAAGCTGCGTTCACCTGCATAGACGCTTGTCCATAGCGCGCTTGGGGACGTTCGTTGCCCCAATGGCCATACTCTTGACAAATACGGCACAGTGTCTTGCCTTTGCCCTTGTTCTTGCCTTTCTATTTTCCCTTGTCTTTGCCTTTACATTGTTCTTGCCCTTCGACTTCGTCTTGCCTTTCGCTTTATACCTCCACGCCCACCACCCTAGCCCCAAGGAAACCATGATGAGCCTTTACCCTTGCGCCTTGTCCACATCCATATAGGTTGCGGACCTCCAGCCGTTGAACTGCTCTGAGCACCATCCAGCTGTTGTAAGGTGTTCAAGAAGTTCTCACTGTTCCATGTTTTTTCGTGTTCTTGTCAAGGGTGATCAACTTCTCCTTGAGGTCGGTGTAATTAGGTCACGTCGTCAGGCGCGTTGTACTGCAAGTGCTTTCTTGCCACGGGATCAACGCAGCAGAAACCTGTTCCAACAATCAAATCTTCTGACTTCTGACATTGGCGTTCGCACTGCTACTGCCTAGTGTTCAAGCGAGGCGTCAAAAGAAAGAAGATTTTCCAACAAATGGCGTTGAGAACGTGTCCGGCTGTTTCACACCTTTGAGGCTTCTCCAAGGTTGCTCCTTGTCGCGCTCGATGAGCTCGAAGCTACAAACCTCTGCGCTGTCTCGGCTGAAGCTTTTAGCTGCTGTTGTGCCTGCTGCTGACAACTCCATGACCTTGCGCTGCATCCATTGCACGGGCTTGTCCCACAATTGTCAGCAGCAAAAGTCCACGCCTTTGCATGTTGAACTTCCACCTCGCCGTTGAAGGTGTCATTGAGTGGCACCAATCCACTTCCATCCTTTGCGGCTCCAATCCACAACTGCTGCTGACCTGGAAACGTTCCAATCCCTTCCACCTCGATGGGGTGTCCACACCCCACTATGCGATCGCCAGATCCCCTCAAAGTACCATTGGGGGTTGCCACAGACGAGGGTCGAAGAAGGGTTCCAACTTCCAACCCCCGTCATACTGCGAGACATCCTCCTCTCCTGGACTCTGGTGCGTCTTCGCCGTCTTCATCGCACACCCAGCTTCCCCTCTCGAATTTCGGCTGGCGCCTCATGTGGATCATCGTGATGATGTCCTGTACACTCACTCACCTTGCGCCTGCCACGAGAAGCGACCGCCAAATTTGAAAATGCGCGCGGCCGCAGACGAGGGGAAGCGCCCGCGCCAGCCAAGGAGTTTAGGCGAGCCTGCGCAGTCACAATGCACTTTGAAGATCGAGGCGTGAGCGCGACGTGGGTAGCAGCAAGTTGAGCTGCGCGCGGACGCAAGCATCATCGATCAGGCCCAGCCTTTTTTCTGGTAAGGAACCCCTAGCGTGATCACGGTGAGCTGATTGCATTACACTACACATACCCGGAGTACTTTTTTTGGAACTCACAAAATGAGGTTCCCACAATGCAACTGATCACAAACGCCTGCAATCAGTTTGGCGCCGCCCGCAAAAAATCCTTGAACCCTGCAAACCTCTAGCCTCCATCGCTATTTGGTTGGAGGCCATTGCTACTATAGCGCGCAGGCCATTGCCACTATAGGTTGGACGCCATCGCTACTGGGGTGGAGGCCATCGCTATTCGGTTCGATGCCATTCCTCGTGAAAAATCGTTTTTGGGGGTCCGCCCCGATAGCCAGGTTTGGTTCCCCGGCTATTGACAAGACCTTTCCCAACAAATTGCGCTATAGGCCTTGTTCGAGGGTTATTTAAACCCTACGACGGCGTTGCGCGCCAACAGGTAATGCACATATTCAATACTTTGCGAGGCAACCACATCAAGTATTGAAGCTGAATGAACGTCCCTTCTCCGACTCAGGCCTGCAGTTTCCCGTTGAAATCACCAACAAGCTGCCGAATTGCGTCCTCGCCTCACTTTTAAGCTGAGTTGCGACGAGCTGACCGCGCAAACCAGGAGTTGTCACTACAATTCGGATGGTGTTTGCTTATGACACTCACTGTTCATCCTGGTTGTCAAGCGCTCAGGCTATGGCCCTTCTTCCGGAACAAGTCCTGCAACTTGCAACCGCATTTGGATTTCAATGAAAATATATGATACTTTTCATTTTTTGCAAACGCTCCGGGTCAAATGGTAGCTCTCTCTGCGATAGGAGCTTCGCAAACGCGTCTTTTTCTCGAGCCTGGCGACAAACATTTTCGTTGTGGGCAGCTTCATGCGCCTACATGTTCACGCGCGCGCGCGATGTTGATGGCGATGGTGACGATGATCATCATGGCGGCGGCGATGATGTTGGTGTTGTTGTTGATGATGATGATGTTGATGATGATGATGAGTGATGAGTAGAGTAATGATGAAGAAGGGCACGGCCTTCTCCTTCCAATCTCGGCTCCTTGCCGCTGGACACCCGCGGTGAGAGCTCTGACCCACTCAGCACTATGCCGCAAAGATTCTCTTTGCTGGGTTCGCGCGATGTGGAGTTCCTGACCTTCAAGACTTCAAGAACTGGCACAACGTCTCCTGAAGATTCAAGCGTGTGGTTGCCAACAACTGCCACGACAGCTTTGACCAGCAAGGTTAGTTACGAGCGTCATGCCAAAACGCACTGCAGAACTGTCACGTCGACGTTGTGAGCGATTGTTTATTCGATGAATCTCGATCAACATATGTCGACTGCTGCTACCCTTTTCTGCGAATCGATTCAGGTCTGTACTGTCTGTACTGAAGTGCTTTGGTTTGAAATGCGACCCACGTCGCTTGTGTCATCTGACATCTGACACTCTCCCTGTGGGAGCACTCCATCCGTATGTAGTGACCGAGAGGATACCGCAGGGGCGGTCCTACGGCCACAACGGATGCCAGCTCTGGACAGAGCAAAATGAAAGGCTTAAATGAAACTCCCTAGTCATCGTCAATACCTGGGACCGGCAGAACAGGTATGATGGCTAGGCGGCGGGCAGCCGAAAATGGACAACCGGACGGCAGCGGCAGACAGCACAGTCCTAGCCTCTCATGGCCGGCAGCCCAGGCGGCAAGCGTAGCAAGCATAGCCATGGTAACTGAAAGTAACCCAAAACACGGCCCTCAAGCACCAGCAAGGCCAAGGTGAAGTGACTATCACCAGGAAACCAGACTCTTCCGGCAACAAGCCAAGTCAGCCACCAGCTCGACCAGCACCAGGTGGACATGGAAGTAACTAACAGGGTGTGGCAGGGTGGGAGAAAAAGTTTAACTTGAGGTACCAGCAGCGACACTGCTCCTCAAGGGGCGTCTCCCCAGTTTGGCTTGAGCATTCAAACATTGGGAGACGTTGATTCGAAGCTTCCCAAATAATTCATCATCACCGACCCGTATACCTTAAATGATTGAATATATTCGATGAATCTCGATCAACATATGTCGACTGCTGCTACCCTTTTCTGCGAATCGATTCAGGTCTGTACTGTCTGTACTGAAGTGCTTTGGTTTGAAATGCGACCCACGTCGCTTGTGTCATCTGACATCTGACACTCTCCCTGTGGGAGCACTCCATCCAAGGCACTATAACGTATCCAAAGCACTCAAACGAACTGAAAGACCTGAGCGATGAGGTGGTAGGGCAGCTGGAGGAGCATGAGCAGGGGGTAGGTGTGGAAGAGACGAAAGTCATGTCGTTGGAACCACGGGTCGTGTTCTCCCTGTCTGCTGATGCCATCTGACCAGTTGTCCTTACTCTGGACCCATTCAAAGTAGCATGCACTACGGAGTGCAAACAGAAGGCCATGGATTGCCCCGGCCATAGAATCCAGCTCATCGTTGTTGCTGCGGCCTCGTATGAGGGCCATGAGTGCTGCGATATTGTCAACAAACCATATACCGTGCATTCCGCGAGCTGATGAAGCATTGTATGCAAGGCCCATGTAGACTGTCAAGAGCTCAAGCTGTGCAATCTTGGCCTCATGATGGGACCACACCGTGAAGATCTTTGGGCTGATGTGGACGACATAGGCCCTTCGACTACCACGGGGGTCAATGAACAAGACTCCCGCAGAACCCTCGCGAGGCCTCTCCTGCGCCGCATCGGATGCAGCCAAGTACCGGTGTTGTCGCACTGGGTTAAGCGGTAGTTCTCTTTCAGGCTTCAACTGAAGTAGTGCTCGAATTCGATCAAAGGACTGTTCAATCTCCGGTGTCATCACGACTTGCGAGGAGTATTGTCTTTCCTTGATGCTATGGAGGCCCGACCGGCCGATCTTGCCGAAGCATCCCGTGGTCAAGAATTTGAGGCAGCCAAAAAGTTTGGCCGCCAGTCCTGGAGGGAGGCGACGCGTCTGAATGGCCTCCTCCATGATGTCGGTGACCTTGGTAAGCAACCATTCACGGACCCAGAATTTGACAGGAGCACCCTGGTGGCAGGCTGCCACGTCGTGGATCAGCCCCAGAAAATCAGACTGGGCCGCCAAGGACTGATGTTTCTCTGTTTGGAAGGGTGAGCCAAGGCATCGTGCGAGTTTATTGACGAAGGCCTGGCCACTGCCGCCCATAATACCAAAATCCTGGATTGTCAAGTCATCAAAGTACATACTGGTCACGCAATAGGCCAGGCGGCGGCATGCAGCTTGGAAGAATCGGGGAAACCGATTGAACGAACATACAGCATTTGGTAACCCGAACAGAGAACCGTAGTATTGCCGAAAACGGGGGCCACCAACGTGATGGTCGTAGTAAGCCACCACGGCCATGTTGCTATGTGTCGGCTTCATGGGGACATAGCGGTAAGCGTTGGGTAAGTCTTCGCCCCCGGACCAAACACCAGCTTGCAGCAACTCAGACGCATGAGCCGAAGAGGATGCTGCCTGCCATAGCAGTTGAACATGGAGGCCAGGTTGAATGCTCGTACATAGATCCAACTTGTTCGCATCGGAGCTGAGTGCACTTTGCCCTCCGTCTGCAGCGTCATCTATGACTCGCAGCTTACCAGAGGGTTGCTGTATGCAAAACCTTCGGATCAGTCTGAATTGGGGAGTTCCTGGCACAGTTGGGCCCATGTCATTGGGGGGCCACAAAAGCCTTTGGCTTGGTCCTCCTCACCCGCCTGGACAATAGCCGTGTCGTGTTCACCTGGACGGAGGCTTTGAATGATGCGGGCAGCTTCTGGCAGGGCGTCCTGGTAGATGGAGGCGTCCGGGATGTAGTGGGCTGGTTGAGCCTTGTAAACTGGTACATGCGGGGAAAAGCCCACGGCGGAGAATCCATAGATCAGGTTGGCCACGAACGTAGTGTCTGGCCATCCGGTAATCAGCATGATAAGCCCAATCAGGGCGATGTGGCGACCTCGAGTGGCTGATCGGACAGGTGGTGGCTGATAAGTTTGGAGGTGGTAGGTGATAGGCCACATTCGCCTGTACGTCTCCTCACCTCACGAAGGCCCACTCCCTGGGCTGCATAGCCAGATGCTGCAAAGATCAAGTCATCATCGACAACACCCATGGTTTCAAATGGGGTAGGTCTCTGCTGCAGTTCAAGGGCGAGTTCAAAATGTCGCTCCTCCCCTACGCCAAAGGGGATCATAGGCGGTAAGGCTTTAGCAGCAGCAGCCGCTCCGGGCTGCTGAAGGCCACTCATAGCAATGGCGTTGCGCTCCAATGGGCCCACCAACTGTGGGCCAAAGGCGTGTCCGTCCCAGTCTGGGCGGTTCTGCATGTAGTTGAGCCATTGGTAGTGCGAGTCATCCACTAGCAGGTCTTCGAGCATAGGCCACTGGAATCCCTCCCAACTGACATCCGGACAAAGGGCCATGAGGCTGGCCACCACAATTTCCTGACAGAAACGCAGCGGGACTGCCCTGGCGGGGCGGATGCCGGCAGCAATGAGTGAGACCCGTCGCAACTGCTCCCTGGTGGGATGGGAATGGCCTGAGGGCGAAGTAGTACGTGAAGTAGTCCAAACCAAGGCTCGAATGATATCCCCATGACATAGCACGTTGTGGGGGCAGTCGCACACCAGAGTCTTGCCACGCAGGGATGGGAGGTCAGCCAGAAGATGGTCCTGGTCGGATTAATCCATCGGGCGTAGTGAAGAACGCTCTCAAGAGCAGTCCTGCCTTTCCCTGTCCGGAAGGGGTTTTGCCATTGTGTCAGTGGCCAACGATGGGAAAAGTGCCCGGGGCCGATGTACACGTCCATGTCTGTGAGTTGGGACCTCAGCTGTAACACGTCGAATGCGACTTGACGAGTGGGCACGTGGGACGATTCCTCTCGTGGTGGTGTAAGGCCCAGGTGGAAACCCATGACATTCATCAGGTCTTCTCGCAGCTCGGACGGCTCGAAATGGAGTAGTGGTCGTACGTCCCCTGAGGTGTTGATGGGCGGTAGTCTTGGGATGGCGAGGATACCGTAGCCCTGTCGCGCAGCCCATGCCGTGCAGCATACCGCTAGGGTGAAGACCAAACTAGGTGTGTACTCCGCTACCCGACGAGCGCCACTCGTTGGGGTCATGAATGTGTCCACATCGAACGGCCGGAAGGGAGGCTAACTCAGGGATGTTGTGGCGGAACTCTTGGGCTTTGCGCCGAGCTCCCCCGAAGACGCACGCATCGTCCAAATCCTGCCAATCATCATCCTGGCACAGGTACTGCTCGACCGGGTCCCACCAGTGCAGAGACCTGAGCGGGTTCTCGTGAAGACATGCGAGGTTCTGTTGATGCCCCCAGTGCTGTAAGGCCAACAGATAGTCACTGGAGTAGTTGTCAGCATCGACCATGTTGTCCCGCGTCCAGTCCTGGTAGGCCCCTTGGGTATTCCTCGGACCGTAGAGGAGGGGGGCCGGGCCGTTTCTCCCTAGCTCTTGATTTGGTAGCACAACTCATAGCCCCCGCAATAGTGGCCACCCGAGGAAGCACAGCCTGAATAGCCCGACGGACCGCCGGACGCGACACGTCCACTCGATGTCAATCGGTGTGATGATCTCCCATTGGCACCACAGGAAGGCCTTGGACAACGGTGCATGGACCCCACTGAACACATCAAGGAGGACGGGGCAGGGTGAGGCTTCGGTCTTGTGCATATCAGTGGACTCCAACTCGGCCAAAAATGAACGAAAGTCATGAAAGACAGGAGTGTCCAAAGATTGGCCTCGCCCCCCCCCAACAGAGGAGCGGCCCTCTTTTCAAGCAGCCTTGGGACATCCGGAAGGCGAGTGCTGGTAAGACCCGCAGACCCGTCCCGATTGCAACACGACGCCGCAGCGGTGTGCACCACGTGGGCAGTTCTTCTTGGTGCGGCACTGATTGCGCTGGTATGCCTGACAAAGCTGCGTTCCATCACGAAGGCTGAAAACCACCGACCCCACCGGCCCTGCATCCGCAGGGGGGGCCTTGGCGGGCGACGCGCCGCCAGTAGTTGTACCCGCGGTGATGCTGGGGGCTGGCAGGGCCCCGGCCAACCAAAGGGCGTCACGCTCCCTCATGATGGCGCTGATAACATTGCCGAGTGTCGTGTGGCCTGTGCGCCGGGCTGCCCACTGACCGCGCTCTTCCACATCAAGGTGTTGGACCAACTGCAGGCGCCGCCCCTCCGGGGTGCGCAGCATCAAGTCATGGCAGCGGCTGGAGTAGGACAGCAGGACGTCATAGGGAACCTGGACGTAGTGCACACTGTCTGCACCGAGCGACTCAGGCGCAGACGGCGTCGGCTCCACGGGGCGACACCCCACAATAGCCAGGGCCAAGAAGTAGGTGTTCATCTTGGCCATGTAGGAAAGCCAGGACTTAGCGGTGATCTCGTCCTCATCATCCTCCTGGAGATACAGGTTGCCCGTCAGGCGTCGACGCTTCTGGCTATGGGTGCGCTGAAAGGTGAGTGAGCGGACCGTCCACAAATCCATGACCTCAAACTGGCTCCGCGTCAGCTGTCGGCTGAGCTTAGACAGAAGTCGGTCAGAGGGATACTGGCGAGGTTCTGGACGCAAGTGGTAGCGTCGAAAGAACGCCTCTTTCAACTGTTCGAGTTCCTGTTTGGGAAGCAGCGTCTCTTCCTCCGTCGGCGCTGGAGGCAGGCTGGCCGCTGCGTGCTCGGAGTCCAGTAAGGCTTTGCACGCCGTCCACGAAGCGCAGCCTAGCAGCCTGGAGGCGCCCCTGCATCTCCTCATAGGCAGGATCCTTGATTGTATCGATGAAGAGCTTCTTGATTTCATCCTCACTGCGAGCATAGTGGCGGAATTCCGCAATATTGCGAATCCCCAACTCAATGATCTTGTCTTTAATGCGCTCCTCGAAGTTGAACTGCAGCGCAAGAGCTGTGAAGGTGTCCTCCGGAGTAGCGAGTTGCTTGGGGACGGTGGCCATGATCCACAAAAGAAGACGGCGGGATCAACGAACGATGGAGAGCAAAGATGGCTGCGGGAGGTCACAGAAGATAAGAGTGAACGGAGACTGCCAAACAGCAAAGCAATGTTACAGCTGATAGCAAATGGAGCACAGCACAGCGTCAACCCTTTTTCAAAAAATCAAAGCCGTGCATGGCATAACTACTGAAGCCGCTTTGCAAGCTCCCCGAGCTCCAAGCTCAGGCATTGCAGCGCTGGCCAACCGATAGCCTCGCCTGCCGCGTGGGCCTCGTAGTGGGCGGTATAGAGCAACTGACGGAACGGAGCGCGATCGGCCTCATGGAGACTATCATGATGACGCGCCAAATCATCACATGTAGTGTGGACCAATGGGGCGTAGGGAGGCAAAGTACCAGGTCTCGGAACCGCCGGCCACAATAGCCCTTCCAGCCTAGGCTCTGGGCGTGCTGCCTCCCTGGGCAGGTCTTGGATCTCATCCCACCATTCAATCCATGATTCACATAGGTTCCGTGCAGCGCGCAACTGAACCTGTACCACCCCTAGACAAGAGGTGGAGGTCGGGGGAAGGGCCCTCAAGGCCCGACAGGCCTGGTCCATCTGATCCCCCACCTCCCAAGCACGGGCCCGTCTGGCCTCGCCCTCCAAGGGCGCCAGTGTCACGGCAACGAACTGGATCGCCTGGGGCCGGTCCATTGGCACAAGGTGTGGGCGTGTGGTACGGAGTTCACTGGGACGCGAGAAGCTGCAGCACGCATGTAAGAACTGACTACAAAATTTGATCGACGTTCAAAATAGGAACCTATCCATCGGGCCGACCGCCGAGTCCCTAGAGGAGGCAAAAATTGCATAGCGCACGAGACGCCCTCTCGGCCTACCCGGTAGGCGTGCTGTTTCTGAAGGACGGCAGCTATTAGTACAAGTGGACCTGGGCATTGCCAGGAAGCACTGCTTTACATGTGATACAGAAATCTCGCCCATAGGCCAAGGCCTCATGAATGCTGCGAGCTCGGTGGACTTCGCCTCGATAAGCAGCATTGCGTTGGCGCCATCTGCACCAGGGCGCGTTGTCACGCTCCACATGCCAGTGCGAGCCTGCTTTCGTAGAGGTAATGAATGAAATTGGGTACCTCGGCAGGGACGGTGGTGCGATGTTGACCTGGCTCCGAGCCCATTTGAAGATGTCAGAGCCGCCCCGCCGGCTGAGCACACCGGCTCGATCGATAGCCCGCAAACCCTCCAGTCGGGAGTACGCTTCCTCGAAGGAGCGCCGCCTAATCCATGCGAGTAGCAAACCAGCCAGCACAGGGGCCCTGTGCACCCCCGCCATGCAATGAACCAGGACGGAGTAGCCCGAGTACAGAGTTGCCAGGAAGATAGGCAGCACCAACTTCAACTGGCGGTCACGGAGGGCTCCGTGATGGCCAACAGGAACGTTAAATTGGTAGACCTGGCGGGCGCTGACCCCTCCCCGACAGTCAGCGGCAATCTTGTCCATAGCGCTGAGGCTCATGCCGATGTGGTGGGCCTCCAACCAGGCCCGGTCCGTGGGCAGACCGCCCAAATAGATAGAGCCGTTGCCTGCTTCACACAGGAAGATGAGCGTGGGAGGCTCTGGGGCGCCGCTGTGCCCGGGCCGGCGCCAGCGGTCCCGTGCTGCTGCATCAAAGGCCGCGTCATTTGCCTCCTGCAGGTGCTGAGGCCGCTCCGGCGACGGTTGCAGCACTGAGGGCATGGCCTTGACTTTGGGGGCCGGAGGTGTCGCGCTGGAAGGGCCTGCTGCTGCCGAAGATGAAGATGCCCGAGGTGAGGTCGACTGCAAAGGTGGTGGTGCCCGCAAAGATGGAGTAGATGCCGAAGCTGATGAGGGCGAAACCACAGGCAGCGTAGGTGGCACCTTTGGCGGAGGTGCTTTGGGCGGCGTCACCGGTTGGGCGCTGCCGCCAGCAGCAGCCCTGGGTGGAGGCTCCACCCGTGCCCGCTTCGCGGGCCGCGAAGGACTGGTGAACGAAAATGTTGACACCGTGTTCCTCGGCCCCTGTGTGGGCTCGGTCACCGGGCCGACAGCCGCGGCTGGGGCCGGGCGCTTCCGCCGGAGCGCGGCAGTGAGGCGTTGGCCAGTAGCTCGAATGATCTGGACCTGAGCTGGAAGCAAGGTCTTGACCACAGGCATGCCAGGGATGGAGTCCGTAGAAACTCGGCGGATCTGAGGGTCAGAAGCAAGGAGCTCGTCAGCCTCCTCCACGCAAGTGGACCATCGTGCAGAGGCATAGCCTGTCGGCAGTTCGTCCCACAAAGCCATGTTGAGGTCCTGGAAGAAGTGCAAACCGGCCAAGCGCAATTGGTGTTTCCGTGAGTCATAGCGGCCAGTGAGGACTGTCAACTGTGGATTCCAGGGTACCCAACAGGTGGATGACCATGGATGGCTCCAAAGTCGCCGCCTGCGCCTGCCCCTGGCCGAGGCGCGATCCCAAACCAGCCCGAGGTTTCACCACTTCGGAGAGGTCGAATGGCAACTTGAGGTTGCGGACGATCCACGGATGAAGGTGGCCAGGAGGTGTTTGTCCGGGATACCTCCACCTGCGGCCGCAATGACCCCCTGAAGCTCTTGCCACGTGCGCAAAGCCCGTTTCACAGTGGCGGCCTCCGCCTTCTGGAGCACATGCGTGAGCTTTGCCTCGAAGTTGGCGGTGATCTCAGCCAAGCGAGCCGCCGGCGGGGGCTCGACCGCCAGAAGGATGGCCATCAACTGGGGCAAAAAGGTCAAGGCGCCGCCGTCAGGGCCGCCCGACTGACGGCCCTGGGTGCTGGGCCGGACTGGCCCTGCAAACGCTCGTGGCCTCAACGGTGGAGATGTGGTAGGCCGCGGCGCAGCTTGCGAAACTTGTTCGCGACGAACGATGTCTCGCGCCAAGGCCCCAGCGCCCAGCTCCGCCTCGCGGCGCGCCTGGTCCCAGGCATCCGCCACAGCGCGGCCCTGCTTCAGCGCTTCTTCGTAGGTAACGAAGTAAAACGCCAAGTCGGAGGGCCGTTCAATCCCATGGGCAGCGCACCACCGTTCCAGCTTCTGCTGTTCAGCAGAGCGGCGGATTTGTTCGTCAGCGCTCTCCATGGCGTCCGAACCGGGAAGAAAAAGTTTAACTTGAGGTACCAGCAGCGACACTGCTCCTCAAGGGGCGTCTCCCCAGTTTGGCTTGAGCATTCAAACATTGGGAGACGTTGATTCGAAGCTTCCCAAATAATTCATCATCACCGACCCTGCCTAACTTAAATGATTGAATATATAAATTGAAGTTTTGAAATCGTTCTTGCATTTCCCCAACGGTTATTGTCTGAAAGTCATCATTGGTCATCATTGCACGCTCTTCGTCAACATTGTATTTGGTGTCTCGAAAAACGTCGCTATCTTTTTGGTCGCTTTCAGCGGCTCAAAATCAATGTCATGTCCCTGCCCTCGGGTTGGAGGCCACAGCAGTGGGGCTCCCCAACTCGACCTGGAGAGGCGCAGCGCTCGCGCCTTGCCCAGCACCTTGATGGCGCTCTGAGGCTGTGAGGCGAGTGTGCCCCCACAAGTCCAGCGGGGAGAGGGGCGTTGCTAAGCAGAGTGCTGGCCAGTGGGTCATCAATGTTAAGTTACGCTGCTTTGCTTCGCGGCGTTTTCGCGGCCGCCCATCCTAGCGCTCCGGCGCGCGTTGCTGGCGAGCCTCGGCGATGTAAGTTACCCGCCCATTTTTGTTTTCGGGGCTTTGTGGGCGCCGAGCGTTCCCCCAGAAACATGTGAGAAAGCGGTGTGGCGCGCGAGCTTTGCTCAATATGCTCTGCGGCCTGTCGCGCACTCAGGAGGCCGCATTAGTTGAATTTGAACGCGGAGGTCGATTTGTCCTTGAGTGTCTGCGCTTGCGGGGCGGACACGGTACAAGGGCGCCCCTAGCTCCACCAATCCTGGCGCACGCTGCCGCTGTCTGCGACGCTGGTAGACCTAATAAGAATGAACAAGTCACGTCTTGTCGCAAGCGGCGTTTGTAATTTTTACTTTCCTTCTTGCAAGCCTTTTTGGTTGCGCCTGAACGCGCAATTGGTGGATGATGCCATCCTTCGACCCCAAAGAAACCCAATCAAAGGATTCCCAAATTTTCTTGCGCCCCGCTTGCCCCAGCGAAACATTTGCTCTGCTGTGTCTAGAGTGGCATCTCCTTTGCGGCCTGCCATCAAGAAGTCGTCCGCTTGCAACCCAGCAAGCCCTTCACGCGCGCGTCCGAATTAAGAGCTGCGCACGCCCTCTAGGAACAAAGTGACTGACGCTTGCGCAATTTTCTTGGAGCGTGGGCCAAGCCGTTAAAAAGGCTTTAAAGCTTGAGAGACTTGACAAGACTGGATCAGCTTCGATACCGAAGGCGCTTCCCATTCACTCACTCGGCGCCCGTAAACACTTATAGGCTTATAGGTCTTCATCCTCCAACGACTCGCAGAGGATCCACCCCATCAGCATGACCTTCGCTCTATCGATTAATTCGCTCGGCTCAGGCGAAGTGCTTGGGAAGTGAGCGCGTTTGACAATTCCTTCGCCATCGCAACATCAAACTTGCACTTCTGTGAGAGACGCAATGACGCTCTGTAGACTTGGCTTCCATTTTCTTTGACAGCCATATAGCTGCCTTCCTCGGCTGGCTGGCCGGGAATTGGGCGTCTTCTGCTTCATGTGGAATTCCCAGACAATAGGAAGGCTCTTCTTCTTGAAGCGCTTTCCATGGTTTGAGGGCGATCAACCCTCAACATCACTGCGTGGTCGCTGCCTCCTTCACCTCCTTGGCCAGTTGGCTGGCGACTCCCGCCTTCCCCTCTTGAAAGTTGAGACGTCGCGCGTCTCCAGCTCCTTGGACGATGTGGTCATCCTTGGCGTTTGCACACACCGTCCGGGGCACTCCTCCAACGTCACGTCGATGGCCACCTTCTCCGCCAAGCCTTTCTGAAGCATTCGGCGCTTCTCACCATCAACGTCCAAGACGCAAGCTCACATGAACGTTGGCGCCGCCGCGAAATCCCAGTTGCGGAGTCCAGACAATTGCGTACTCCCTGCCAAGTAGTTCTACTACCCCTCCTCTTCCTCCTGCTGCTGCTGCTACTGCAACTGCAACTGCGACTGCAACTGCTACTCCTACTTTACTACTCCTCCTCCTCCTCCTACTACTACTACCACTACCACTACCACTACGACGACGACGACTACTTCTACTTCTACTTCTACTACTACTTCTACTACTACCACTACCACTACCACTACCACTACGACTACGACTACTACTACCACTACTACTACTACTACTACTACGACTACGACTACGACTACTACTACGACTACACGACGATGACGACGACGACTACTACTACTACTCTACTACTACTCTTCTAAGACTCTTCTACTACTACTACTACTTCTACTTCTACTACTACTACTATTACTACTACTACTACTATTACTACTACTACTACTACTACTACTACTACTACTACTACTACTACTACTACT